CGCTAAGTAATAATATGATAGATGGTAAAAAGCACTAAGGAGAAAAATAAAGCAAGGAGACAAAATATTGGGGGATTGAGTTTAAGATCACCATGAAAGTGACATTTGAGTAAGGCCTGGAAGACAGGGCGCTCCCCATGCCAGGATCTGGGGTAAATCCACCAAGACTCAGAGGAGAGGAACAATAGGCCTACAGTAAAGGGAGAAAGTCTTGGCTGTTTGAGGAATGTAAGGAGTTCCAAGTGACTGAACTAGAGTGAATGTAGTAGGAGGTGAGGGCAGAGAGGTACCTGGAGCTGGGGAAGCTCAGCAATGGGGCCACTGGAACCGTCGTAAGGACTGCGGGGTTTTACTCTTGGTAATTGGAGAGTAATTGGATGATTCTGAGCATGCAGATGACAGATGACATGAGTCCATTGACATTTTTTACAGGATTGCCTTGATTGTTTTGTTGAAATAAGCTATCCAGCAAGCAAAGACCAAAACAGGGAGACTAATTATTGTAATAATGTAGGTGTGAGACGAGAGTGATGTGGGTTAGCAGAGTAGCAATGGGGTGGTGAGCTGTGGCTAGATCCTGAAGACATTTTAAAGGTATAAAGGACAAATAATAATAGCTCACACTTACATCTCCTTACTATTTGCCAGGCACCATCCTAAGTGCTTACATGTTTATTTATGTCCATTCTTTACAAATAAGGATACTGAGGCACAGAGAGGTTATAAAACTTGTCTAAGACCTCCCAGCTAATAAAACAACCAAGATGCAAACTCAGGCAGTCTCATTTCAATTTTATGTTTTCTTAATCATATCAATAGCACCTTTTGATGTAGATATTTAGGCAAAGCACTTAGAGCCTAACCTAATGAGTATTCTTAAGGAAACACAAATTCTAAATGATACATGCAGATAACTGTCACTCTATAGCAGGAATAATTTGAAGCTTTATGAACCATGACTTTATTATGTAAACAACACAGATATTCAAAACAGAAGTTGGTTCATATTTGTTGGAGATGTTGTAGAATTGTCGATAACCTTATAATGAACAAACAGAGGACACTGGCTCAAATTAAGATTACTAATCACATTAGAGCTTTGTAATTTTAGAGCTTAATGAAAATGGTCATAAGATCTGTTATTGAAAATAAACTGCCAGGAGTCTCCCCAGTCAGCAGAATAGTAACATGAATTTAAAACTATTAGTCTGTATGATGATAAAAGTGAAGTGAGGTCCATTATTTGGGGTAACACTAACTTTAGTAACTGGGGCTGTATCTCACCTCAAGTAGACAGGTGCTAGTGTTTCAAAAGCAGAGAGATTGATTTCTAGCTCTAAATTGTTGTAGGATTAGCAGTCCCTAAAGCTAGGATGCTGTTCTTAGTACTTGGAGTACTGAGAACTACCAAATGGCTCTTATTTTAAAGCAGCCCAGGGAATTTTCAGGTGAATTTGATGAAATGATAATTGCACTTGAGACATGGGGAGAAAACACATTTTTCCTTTGATTAGCTGGTTCTCCTAATTTCTTGTCATTAATTCTTTTCATTGTGGATGATAATGAACAGCTTTGGGAGAAGTTCTAATTTCTTTTCAAGTAAAGGCATGAACATTTCTACAGATATGAGGAAAAAGAGCATTTCTCTAAAATGCAACATGATGTGTGTGTCACTCTTAATGTTCAGGAACAATAAAAGAGTCAATTCTTTCCCCCTCCAGTGTTTTCTTACATTTTATAACTAGTTCAAATTCAGGTGTCCACTGTCCCTAATAAATTAATAATATTATTGTAGTTTTTGTTTTTTAATTTATAAGCACTCCATAAATTGTTATAATTAATATTATATTTTTGCTCTTATTAATAGACTGTCTCAAAAGAATTTTTTACTTTTGCTTCGACAATATGTAATAGAAACAATTTAGATGCATATTATCACAGATTAGGACTGTGAAAGGTATGTTGGGATACAAATCTTTTATAATGCATATTCCCTTTTTCAAAACTTGATCTCATAGAAATATCCTAGGGTTTAAATATTATCATTTCATCTGTGCATTGTAATTCTTTTAAAGATATGAAAGGATTTGTGCTAAATAAAGAAAAATAAGTCCGTTTATAAATATACACACATACACATAGATGCATATCGTATATAAGGCATTCAAACCTAATACAAGATCTGTGTATATTAAAAATGATAATTCAGATGATAATGATGTATCAGTGTAGGTTCATCATGTGTAACACACGGCCCACTCTGAAGAGGGATGTTAATAATGGAGGAGGCTGTGCATGCGGGGCAGGGAGTATATGGGAAATCTCTGTGTCTTCTGCTTAATTTTGCTGTGAACCCAAAATAGCTCTAAGAAATAAAGTCCATTAAAAAATAATAATTGCAATGTTAGGCTGGAGAAGCTCATCATATAAAAGTCAGTTAATACAAATTAAAACTCCTTTGATGATGTTCCACTTAATAATGATGCAAATCTTATACATTTTATGATACATATAAAAGTAAAAATACAAAGCACTAGGATATAGAAGAGTATTACTAGGTTTAACAATTAAAAAGTTATCATCTGTGTAATATAGTTGAGTTACCACAACTGTATGACACATGACCCTTGAATGTTTTTACTTCTTTGTGCTGTTATTTTACTCAGTTTAACTGCTAGTTTGGTGCTCAGTTCCAGAGTAGAATAGAGGTGATGTTTCTGGTGTCAGATGTCGCTACGTTTATGTAATCAGCCACACTATCAATTCTAAAGAAGTGCTTTGGAGGAAGGAACACAGGGAGAAGTCATTGTGTGGGGGATAGGAAAAGAGAAGGCAGAAGGATAGAACAATTGTTTCCCTTAGCTTGGCTCTATTTTTTTGAAGTGCTTTGTTGGTTAAGAGAAGGTTAGCAATGGATCTGAGTCAGTCCATAACCTTTAATGCCACTTACCCAATGCTGATTCTCTTTCTGAATCATATTGTTAAGGATTCTATTAATTCACCAGCAACTGTGTGATTTTGCCCTGTTTAGGGAAAATGGCTCAATTTCATTGATTTTTGAAGCTTTTCACAGACTAATTTAGAAAGATACTATTGAATTTAAAAAACAAAAAAATCATCTCTATTACAACACTACATTGTAAAAGTTCACAAGGACACCAAAGTGTTTATTAGTCCTTTTTATTAGTCTCTTATGGGTTCTCTACACTTTTGCAGTGCTGTTTGTTCCCTCCAGCCCTTGTTAAATTCTGAATTGAAGAATTCAGCATTCTATGAAAGCCCTTCTTTTTCTACATTTAGTTCCTGAGATTTCTCACTTTTGGATTTGAGAAATCGAGACAACCTTAAGATCGAAAGTGTACTGTACTTACAGCCTTTTCTCAATTCTTAGTGCAAATGAATGTAAATGACGTCCACTTTGATATGGTTTGGCTGTGTCCCTACCCAAATCTCATCTTCAATTATAGCTCCCATAATTCCCACGTGTTGTGGGAGGGACCCAGTGGGAGATAATTGAATCATGGGGGCAGTTTCCCCCATCCTATTCTCCTGTTAGTGAATAAGTCTCACGAGATCCGATGGTTTTATAAGGGATTTCCCCTTTCACTTGGTTCTCATTCTCTCTTGCCTGCCACCATGTAAGGTATGCCTTTCACTTTCTGCCGTAATTATGAGGCCTCCCCAGCCACGTGGAACTGTGAGTCCATTAAACCTCTTATTCTTTATAAATTACCCAGTCTCGGGTATGTCTTCAGCAGCAGCATGAAAAAGGACTAATACACACTTTGGTGTCCTTGTGGACTTTTACAATGTAGTGTTTAGGAATGCCACTGGTGCAGAATCACAACAATGGGTTCTGCTGAAGCTTGGCTTCATTCATACAGAATCGGGCTGAAGTTTATCTTTTTTACGGCTATTAAAGGAAAATTTGCTGAATACATGAACAGGGTTAATAAAGTAGCAACGACTGGGGAAGATTTCATCGATGCACTGTTCCCAAGCACTTTAAATGAATCAGTTTTTAGAACTGTATCTTATTGATTTGGTAAAAATCTTAGAGCAGAAGTGGAACTTGGAGACTATAAGCTCTAAATGCTTTATTTTGCAAATGAAGAAACTGAAAAAAAAAAAGAGAGCAAATTATGATTCTCCTAAGTGCCCGAAGCGAGCTACCACCCCTGTTTCCAGTTGCCTCTTCTCCAACTGCAACTGGGTTCTTTCTATCAAGTCACGCCAGCAGGACATAGTGGAGAAACTACAATACTTTATTAGGTTAGAGTGTGTTAATTTGAAAGTAATCAATAATGTCTCAAAAATAAATCCGATTTTCAAGCTAATTTATACAGGTCTCTTTCTGTTGGTTTTAACAAGGTTTTCTCATATTGGGTATTAGTTTGGGGATTAAGTGGATGATGTTAGTTAATCAATCTGTAAATTCACAAGAGAAGGGAAGTATTAAAGTTGTCTGTATCTTTTCTCTTAAAATCTTTTCAAATTCCATATGTTTGAATTTATGATAATATTTACAAAGCTGTCTAAAAAAAAGTTTTGGTTGAAATGAAGTTTTGTGGGTGACTGGGTTTTATATTTAGAAATAATAATGCCCTTCATTATAAAGTGAAGAATGTTTATGAAAGTTTGGAACCAGTTTAACACTGAATTACCACTAAATATCAAGTTATTTGTGTTACCATATTTGCCTCAAGTATTTCCTTTTATATTTAGCAAACATCATGGGTTCAAAATATGAAAGGGTTTTCAAAAAGTGGTCCCAAGGACCACTTTTGAAGCTTCCCAGGGGCAAGTTTTAGTTTTATGTTATCAAATAAGCTACTTCATTATTCTGGATTTGCATGTTGACTTGCAGAGATTTGAAGGTGGGGTGTGGGTGGTTTAGACAATGCATCCCATCTATGCTTTCTGGGATTTTTGTGTTTGCTTGGTTTTGCTTTAGCATTGATGAATGCCTCACTCACTAGAATCTTTTTCATTCCTTTTAGGCAAACATATTACCAGAAATACAGCAGCCACTTTGCAGAAAGGAAGGATTATGTCAAATAGTTAGAAGATTCCCAGGTAATCTTTCGTTTGCTTCCTTGGGCGTAAACATGTGAGACATGCAGGCTTCCTTAGCAGACAGCAGCTAACACGGTCTCAGGTTAGCATCTTTTGCTCCTTTGTCTATCAATTCTACAATCACAGATCTGCCACAGTTCACAACACTTTGCCAATGAAAAGACCTACAGTGAGGAATAACAACCATAACGCTGGTATTCGTTTAGTTTGCCTTCTGATTTGCCAGATGAATATATTTCTTAGTCTCCTTTCTGTTTGCTTTTAAAATAATTGCTGCTTCATTTTTAAAGTAATAATTACAGTAGTTCTTAGTTATGTAACACTTGGGGTTTTTATCAAAGTATATATTTCTTTATGATTAAATTATTCTGATCCCAAAAAAATTTTCTCCTTTCTGGAATCCTCTCAATTTGTCTGTGTGTTAAATACAGGACACTGAATGAATAAATTCTGCATTTTAACTACGTTAGGAAGTTGGGACAAAAATTACCATCTTCAATTTCCTCATGGGTTCCCAGAGTGGAAAAAGCATCAGAAGGTATATGAGCCCTCATAGATGAAATAGGCCCTCATAGAAAAAATGATAGCCTACTTTAAAAGCCATCAGTGAAAGGATTCCTCAAATTTCTTGTTTTAAATACATTTAATGTTTAATAGTTTATGCTCCCAGAAAGTTCTTTATTACATAATTAAAACTTAGCTCTGCATAGCTTTAATTTTGTTTTGTGTTAATTTGTCTCCTAGTTACATCAGGAAACAAATAATCGATTTTAATCCATCAGCTTTCCCATTGGGGTTTCTGCTCCCACTCCAAACATAAACCACACTGGCATGTTCCACTGTGAAGATTACAGTCATCGACTGATATTTACTGAGAATTAAAATAAAATAATAAATCTCAATTCAACTTTCAATTTAAGATACCTATCTAAAGAGCCATGTAAATTTGGTTCTGTAGTTATTGTTTTATATGACAATTATAATGGACTACATAAGCTGAGTGTTTTTTTTGTTTTTGTAAGTTCTAGCTGGAGAGATTTTTAATCATATAAAAAAAGTAATGTTTTGGGGAGAAGCAAATAAAATAACTATTCTCATTAATGCAATATTAAAATATCCAGAAATTCTTTAGAAAAGGCAATCTGAAGAAGTTATTTTTACATTTTGACCAGAACCTACAGATTTAAAAGTGTGTTTTTCTTTGTTGCTATTTACATTTCAGAATGGTTGATTCAGAACATTAAGTTTCTTTGGCTTTGTACTTAACACAATAATATCATAGAAATGAAAAGCTGTTTATGGTCAGAAATAGATTACCAGTTTTTTAAAAAGTTCCACCAAACAATTCTATATAAATTTACATTTTACGTTTTACGTCCATAAAACTAAGAAGTATTTTCTGTCTTCTTTTGCTTCAAACATTTTTTATTCTCAAAAACATCTATAAGTTCTAGGCATTTGTAGTTCTTTCTACACTCTGTCTAGTGCATTAATTTTGTATTTATCTCTGTGACTAACAAGATAGTTTCACAGAATGCAGTTTTTTAAGTGGAATTATTTCTACCATCATGTTACCTTTCTCTAGATGAAGATAATTTTCTTAGATGTGTAGCTTTAAAGAAATGTCTGCAGCATGGTTTTCTGATCTAAGTTTTATAAATAGTAGCTTTTGTTGTGGACTGTTGGTATAAATATATCATATATAATAAATTCAGTATTCACAACATTAAAATTTTATTTGTCGTGAATGCTGAATATTTAATATTGAATACAGATTAGGTAGCAACATGTCAGTACCTAAATATATGGTATGATTATAAAAGTATGATGGTAAAACTAAACATAATATTATATAATGTAGACATTATATTTAAAGCCAAAATGTCTTATATAATTTTAAGCTGTGTATCATTTGGAGGTTGACAAAACACAAATTTTGGAACCAAAGATTTTTAGCTCTTCCACCTATTTGCTGTGTGACTTCAGGGGTTTTTTGTTTTTTGTTTTTTTAATCCACAAAGTGGAGTTAAGAAGACCCATTTCATAGGTTTAATTTTAAAAGTCAGATTGTATATGTGTGTATGTATAACTTAATTTGCAGAATAAACATATTATTTATTATTCCTTACACATGATGTCCAAATAATGGTAACTGGATTACCCTAGATTTGAAAAGTCAAGCAGGCAAAAATCTAGAGGCAAAAGGCCCTGGAATACTTAGTGTTTTCTCCCTTTATATGATAAATTATCACTAAGATTTTATCTTTCGGTCAAAAACTGTGAAGGGTTTGAGATCTTAACCCCTCTCACAAGCTCACAGGTCAACCTGCCGCAGTTTCATGGGTATTGGTAGAAGACATGAGATGCCTAGGTCAGAGACCAATGACTTTTTTATTTACAGCAATAAAGGTAAGCCAACTATCAGCACATGTACCAGTTCACTGAAGCATGTAGGCCCTCTGTATCTGTGCGTTCCACATCTCTGGATTCAATCAACCATGGATAGAAGTATTAGGAAAAATAATCTCACGAAGTTCCAAAAAGCAAAACTTGAATTTGCTGCATGCTGAGTATTACATTGAATCCACGGGAATGAAGCAATGTGCAGGCATTGTGTTAGGTATTATAAGTAATCAAAAGATGACTTAAAATATACAGGAGGATTGCGTAGATTATATGCAAGTATGACATCATTTTATATCAGGGACTTGAGCACCCGTGGATTTTAGTATCCATGACCGGGGGGCGGAAGGGTGGGGTGCGGTCCTAGAACCAATCGACTATACTGAGTGGTTTGCATTTCAAGAAAGGAACCCAGAGCTTAGGAAGTTTGAATCTTTATAATGTGCAGTGAGTATGCCCATTCTTTCCAGTAGTTTCCCTTTGCCCCAGAGGGGGACATTATATTTATTATACTGGACAAAAAAATAAATGTTCCTTTGCTCTGGAGTGAGGCACCATCTCTATTTTTCAAGGCATTCCACTATATAAATATCTTTGAAAAGCTAGTTCAGAACAAATGTGGTCAGTGCCTCTGTTTGCAAAATGTGCAGGAATATGAAAGATAGATATAGCAGTGTCTCCAACAATTTCAGAGAGGAATACCTAACAAGTCCTAGCTCTGAGTCTGTCATTGTATAATTCTGAGCAAGATTTAAAACTTACTGGTACTGCACTTTTCTTATCTCTAAAAATACAGAGTTTGGCAATGATCAATAATGCTGAAATCTCATAATTCTGCTGTGCCTTTTCCCCATATAGACTTGCCATGGACTTTATCTTCAGTAGTAGGTACAGACAGGAATGCTAAGAAAGGAGAGACGATCATGCTGGTAAATGTGGCTGGAACCCACGCAAGTGAGGCAGGAGGAGGAGTGGTTGGAGATAGCACGTAAGGCTAACACAGTCTGTTCCATTCCATAGCCAGAGTGTACCTGATATTAGACTTGTGACTCACATTGAAGGGCACACACCCATGAAATTTTTACTGGCTAGCACAAAGATTTTTTTTTATCTTGCCATTTAATGCTTTGCCTTTTGAAAAAAAAGTTTCATAGTTTTTAGTTGGCCCAAATTTGTTGCTAATGTTTTTTGTTGCTTTTTATTAAGTTTGCTCATTTTGATTAAAGGGAATTTTTCGCCATATTTGGAAGACAAATATAAAACAAAACATAAGAGAACTGTTTTGCTTGGGTTGTGAGCTGTTGTTTTTGTTCTTTTTAGTACAGCATCGCCATCCAAAAAATCCTGGTTAAAAGTGTGCCCAATTTTGGCCATAACTCATTCTTTCCAGTAGTTTTATCTTAGCTCTGAGTGCTGACCTTCATGTGAAGCTTGAAATATACTGGGATTTGTATTCAAAGATAGCATTTTGAACATTTTAGGATTTGTGTCCTCATTAAAATAAGTAGCATGTGAGTACATAAAGAAAAAGGAAAATAATAGGTAAAATATAACACCTATTGTTGTATCAAAAACAGTGGAGCTTTAAAAATTATAGGTAGTATTTACTACCAAATATAAAATATGTCTTCAAAATAATACAATTAAAATAATTTTTAAACATTGACCAATAATAGTTATTTATTTTAGGTGGCACTGATGATTGCTCTTAATATCCCAGGTCTAATATTCTAGCAAACTTTCAGAGAAGGTTAAAGTTTGCTTGTTCTCTGTGTTCTCAAATCCTGATACCCCCTCTCTGTGGATTGTGTGGGCTCCTTAATGCTTCTGTCATTCCAAAGAATCTCACCTCTGTACCAAACATGATTATATTCCTTATGTAAAACATTTCATCCCCAAGTAAAATTCTCATCTCTTTAGTATGACTGACTTCAACTAGGTAATAGCAGAAAGTAAGCTGATGGAACTAATTCAGACTAAATTATACCCTCACCCCAGTTATAAGCCTCTTAGATGTATTTGCATTTTTATAAAAGCAGCTTGCAAACCCAATGAATTTCTAATTGGTAGGATTTCTGGAAGTGCATTCAAATTTCCATTTAATTCATCAGTAAGCCATCCATCCCCAAAGCTTACCGAATTCATCCACTTTTCTCCATCTCTACCATGACCAACCTAGTCCAAATCAGCAGTCTCTCATATTCTTCTCACTTCCTTTCTTGCTCCTAAATAATCCAGTCCATTCTATTATCCAGACTCTAGCCAGATTGGTCTTCCTCCCACCATTTCATCAATAACTGAAGGAAGTTTATTAGGTCTGCTCACATAAGTCTGTTTAGGGACTGAAACAGTACAGCCCAGGTCATCAACTCTTTGATGTTCTGACATAATCCAGGGACAGATTTTATCTAGGATAGGAACGATAAGCCCAAATGCTCACAGGGCCTTGGCATGTGACATAAGAAATTTCCTAACAAATTCAGAAGCTTTAGAGGACAGATAACATGCACCTTTTCAGTATTTGGTCTGCCATCAAATGTAGAGACTTTATTTAGCAAAAGCCATTTAGTCTCCAAGAAAAGAAGAGTTGAAGATAC